CGCCGAGGCTCCATGGGTGCTTTGGGTGCCAGTAAATAACCAACGGGAGGAGCAGCAGGGATTTCACCCTCTCCGGATCTTAGTATTTTATTAAAGTAATGAATTCGGGGAGCAGAGCAGGGGTGGTTTGCCACCGGGGTCGCGGTGCTTTGCTGCTCGCAAGGTTTGACTCCTGGCGCAGGACCAGCTGGGCACCCTCCCTCCGCTCTGCTCCCGGAGGACAAATCACAGGACCACAGGACGCTTTGGGCTGGAAGGGACCTTTCCAGGCCATCCAGTCCATCCCCCCGCAATTGGCAGGGACAGCTTCAACCCGATCTGGTTGCTCAGAGCCCCGTCCAGCCTGGCCTTGAATATTCCCAAGGATGGGGCATCCACCACCTCTCTGGGCAACCCATTCCCGTGTTTCACCACCCTCAGCATGAAAAATTTTTTCCTTGCGTAAAACCAAACAAAAAAGAAACCAGAAGAAGAACTTCCAGCCCTGCCTTGGGGGTGCTTTGCTTGTGATCTTTAATGCCTGTTGGCTTTAGTGCCTTTATTTCACCTGTTACCGCTAGAAATAAGACCATACGTTCCAGCAGGTAACGGGTGCTACAGGAGTTAGGTTTTTTACCGACTTAGTCCCAAAAGAGGGACATGCAGGAGGGCGCGTGGTGGCCCTGGGGGACGTTGTGCTTCGGGCTGGAGGTTGGGAGCTGTTTCTTTTGGCAGGGCAGGTCCGTGTCCCATGTCACCGCTGTCGGTTCAGCGGGTGACCTGAAAGCCATGAGCAGAGCCGGGCTGTGCTGAGCAACTCGCTCTGCTGTGAGGCCCTGCTGGAGGTTGGGCCAGCAAAGCTGCTCGCTTTTGTCCGTAATAGGCTGTTGGACGTGGAAATGCAGGAGCAAAAGGGATCTGCTGTGTTGAACCCATCTTTAGCTACTCCAGCCTCATTTGTCCTTCCTTCCTAGGCTCCCTGGGAGACATCTCCAAATCCTTCCTCGATCTCACCGACCCAGATGAGATCAACAGCTACTTTGCCTTCAACGTCACCTCGGCGCTTTGTCTCACCTCCACCGCCCTGCAAGCCTTCGGGAAGCGTCCCGGCTCGAGCAGGACGGTGGTGAACATCTCCTCGCTCTGTGCCCTGAAGCCCTTCAAGAACTGGGCGCTGTACTGCAGCGGGAAGGCGTCCCGGGACATGATGTTCCAGGTGCTGGCGCTCGAGGAGCCCGATGTCCGTGTGCTCAACTATGCCCCAGGTGAGGAGGGAAGCTCATTAATAGCTGTTAATTTTCTCCTGGCTTGGTGGATAAAAGATTCTTGCAGCCGAGGCAGGTACAGAGGGAAAATAAGCCCCAGATTTTGCTTTCTCCTTACATGATTTCTTTTTTGTTGCTCTTTCCCCAGGCCCTCTGGATACGGACATGCAGCTCTTGGCCCGGACTAAGACCGGAGACCCTGAGATGCGTCAATATTTCCAAAGCCTACAGGAGAGTGGCCAGCTGATAGACTGCACCGTGTCGGCCCAGAAGCTGCTGAATCTCCTGGAGGAGGACACCTTCAGCTCCGGCGCCCACGTGGATTTCTACGACATCTGAGTTACTCTCGCCTCCATCCTCACCTTCATGCTTTGCTTTCAGCTTCTGTCCGCCGAGCTGCGTCTTGGGTGCCTCCAGCGTGTTTGGTGACCTTGTCTGAGTCCTGGGTGCTGTGCAGGTTTCACGAGAAGACCTCTGGGTGCCTTATCAATACTCCTAGTGCCCCGATGGGTTTGGGGGGCAGTTATTGCTTTGCTGCGCTGTAGCTGTTGAGCCCTCCTGGGTACCTGCCAGCAGGAGCGGGGATTTCTCAGCTGCTTGGAGCCGGATCGGGGAACAAAAGTGGCTTTTCCAAGGGAATGGGCATGGAGGCTTAAAGCTCTCCTGCACAGGAGTGTGTGTGAGCTGAGGAGGTACCGAGGCACACGCGGCCAGGTCAGAAAGCCACACCAGAAGGTCTTGAACAAGCCAACAGTAGGGTTAGAGCTGAGCCCCGTGTCTGTCCCCTCTGCCCCGCAGGAGCTGCATGCTCAGCACCCGAGCAAGTCACCACAGGGCAAAAGAGCCGTTCCTGGGGACAGAGGTGGTGGCTGTCCCCCCAGAGCCCTGACTCGCTGTCCCCCGTCTCACCAGTGCCTTGTCCAGACTCTCCTGCAGTTCTGCGATCGTCTCCCTGCGAGTTTTGTGCGTGAAGACCTGGAGCAAAGCCTGTCCCTGTGGTTTTTGTGCAAAGGCGATAAATCACCAGGAGGGGGAGCTGGCCATGGAGGAGATGGGAATTTGGGGTGCCTGGCTGGGGTCACCCACTGACATAAACCTGGGCACAAGCGCAGCACGGGTTAGAGCACATCTGAGACACAGCCCTGAGCTCGTGCCATGCTCCTGTTCGCAGGTTCTGGGTCCAAGCCTGGATCTGGGGCTTCAGCCCCTCCTGCCTTGTTCTTTTATTGTTTGTGGGGTTTTATCCTCGTTTTCTCATCAGGTTCCAGGAGGCACAGGCACTTACAGACCTGCCCTTCTAGAAAGCAGCTGATCTGCACTGTGTGTTGATGCAGGAGAGCTCTGAAGCGCGGTGGCATCCCCTGCGCGCCCTTGAAACGCCCGGTGTCTCTGCACTCTGACAGCAACTTTCCTGCGGTCCTCTTCTGTCTCAGCCCCGTATTTCAAATCTTGTCTGCTGAATCTCCAGTCATTAAAGGTTTCATGTCTGGTCTGGGTCTTCTGCTGTATGTTCACAAGTGGGTAAACTTTTGAGAGGGGAGAGCCTGGGTTAAGCACTGTCTTCATCCCACACGGCACCACGCATGCCCTCCTGGAGTCCTCTTCTTCCATCTCTGAGCCATTTCATTAACTCTGTGTTAACTTAATCCTGTCAAGCTCAAGAAAGCCTCTCTAGCTAGTCTGCTGCTTGGTTTCATCTTCCCTCTTTGCCTGTGAAACTCATTATTAGCCAAACCCCCTCTGCTGCTCACTGCAGTAGCAAGGAGTTGTTTTTCTGGGGTTTGATGCCTGGTGGTGTTCAGTGCGGTCTGTGAAACCTGGATGGACCTGCTGCTGCTAAAATTCCCCCATCTCCTCACTTTGTACCCGTATGGGCTTGTCACAGCCCTTCTTGGGCAGAAACCCTCTTTTGGAATCTGATTCTCTGCAAAAAAATAATGGCAGTGCTCAGAGCTGGGGGTCCCAAGTCCTGCCCTTACCGGGTCACAGACCCCGGGCTGGCCAGAGGCTGGGCTGCAGGTGGAAGAGCCCCCCGAAAAGGCTCAAGGAGCCCCAAATGGCAGGAGGAGGTGGGCGGGTGCTGGGGACAGGGCTGCCCTGGGCATGGGGACAACTTGGTACCAGCTGGGTGGGAGATGCAGATGGGTTCTTTGGGGTAAGACACATTAAAAGCTGGGATACCCAAGGGGGAGGATTATTTTTGGACTGTGCATACTTGGTTGAGGTCTGACCACCCCGCAGTGGCTGGGGGTGTATCAGCAGCTCCGTGTGTCTTCTTGGAGCATCTGCGTGAGGAGTTGTGTCACAGAGGTGCCACTTGAAACCAGGCGCTTCTCCAACCCAAACCTCTCCCCTAAGAGAGCATACATAGGCTGGGAATGCTGACTTTAAATAGTGAGGTGCTTACATCCTGCTGCACACAACGTTAATGACACCATTAATGAAACCCTGGATTTGATTCATAGCATGGTTTGGGTTGGAAGGGACCTTCAAAGATCAGCTAGTCCCCCTGCCATGGGCAGGGACACCTTCCACTGGATCAGGTTGCTCAAAGCCCCGTCCAACCTGGCCTTACATCACTTCCAGGGATGGGGCACCCACAGCTTCTCTGGGCAGCCTGGTCCAGTGTCGCACAACCCTCATCACTGTAAAAAATCTCCTCCTTACATCCAATCTAAACCTACCCTCCTTCCGTTTAAAACCATTGCCCCTCCTCCTGTCACTGCAGGCCCTGGGAAAAAGTCTGTCCCCATCTTTCTTCTAAGCCCCCTTTAAGCACGGCAAGGCTGCAATCAGGTCTCCCCGCAGCCTCCTCCTCTCCAGGCTGAACCCCCCCAGCTCTCAGCCTCTCCACAGCAGAGCTGTGCCACCCTCGGAGCATCTTCCTGGCCTCCTCTGAACCTGCTCTAACAGGTCCACGTCTGTCTTGTGCTGGGTCACGTTTCACTCCCTTTTCTCTCTCCCCTGGTGCCCGGGGGCAGCCCAAGGGCAGCAGGAGCAAAACTCAGCCTTGGTGTCACTGTCCCTTCACCCAGGAAACTCTGCAGCTGCTGGATGGGGAAACCTGTTGCAAACATCAAGCGCGTACCAAGTGCGCATCCTACGGCTGCGGTGATGTGCTGTGGCTCACGCTGCTGAATTCTGCTGGTGAAGCAACCATGGGCTCGCAGTTCAATGGGGTATGTTTGTCTTCAGCATGGCCACTCCACGCTTTGCGCTCCAAGCTGTCTCCCGGGTGTTTTAATTTTTAGGGGTTTCATCCCCTTGGACTCACTGTGCGTGTGTTTAGGCATTTGGCATCGTTCCGTAACCCCCAGGGATGTGCCGAGCTTCTGACTCCTGCCCCAAGAGCAGAGCTCTGCCCAGGGAGAAATGCCATGATGCTTTCAGGGCATCTCCTGGGTGCCAGCATCCTCCAGGTACCAGCATCTCCTGGCCAAGGAGAAATGTCGTGATGCTTTCAGGGCATTGCCTGGGTACCAGCATTCCCTGGGTACCAGCATCACCCTGGGTGCCAGCATCATCCTGGGTGCCAGCATCCCCTGGCTAAGGAGAAATGCGGTGCTTTCAGGGCATCCCCTGGGTGCCAGCATCCCCTGGCCAAGGAGAAATGCCGTGATGCTTTCAGGGCATCGCCTGGGTACCAGCATCCCCTGGGTGCCAGCATCCCCTGGCCAAGGAGAAATGCCGTGATGCTTTCAGGGCATCGCCTGGGTACCAGCATCCCCTGGGTGCCAGCATCCCCCTGGTACCGGCATCCCCTGGGTACCAGCATCCCCTGCCCAGGGAGCGGGCCCAACTCCCATCCCCGTGGGTCCAGCTGACATCTGTGCACCCATGGGTGCTGTGAGATGCAATGGCAAAACGAGATGAAATATTTTTCTTCCCTTTTCTAGCATTTTCTGTGACCAGCTGAGGGCGTACCGAGACCGGGTAACGGACAGCAGCCAGAGCAGGGAGTCCGGAGGGTGAGCGCATGGGTGCCTCTGGAAGAGCAAGGGGCTGCTGGGTGGGGATGGAGCGGGGTGCAGGCTCAGGCTCCCCTCCCGCCTCTGCACCATCTCATCACAGGTCCCTGTGACGACTGATTTTTTTTTTTTTTTTTTTTTAAATTAAGGCTCCATGTCCTGGAGCCATGGGACCATGCCAGAGGCTCAACTGGGAGAAAAAGGGGTATTAAAAAAAAAGTTTTGACCTCTCCTAATTTCAGAGACAGGAGCTCCCAGCTCACCTGGCAAAGTGTATCTGATGGGGCTGACATGCCCGGCCCTCGGGGAGCCCCGATATTCGGGCAGTGCTTTCCCATGGGCTAAGGATGAACCCTGCGGCTGAAGGGAGTCACCCCGAAAGGAACCATCACCTCCTCCATCCCAGGCAGGGGCCACGGGCTCTGTTCTCCCTGACAGGGGTAAACTGGGCCTCGTCAAGCCCAAAATGCTGCCTAGCATGAGGGGTCCCTGCAAGCGGGTCTGCCTCCCCGCCAGCCCCCCGCCAGCCTGCCTTCCCACCCTGCCTCCTCCAGCAAAATACTGCGCAGGGCATTTTACCCCTTTTTCCCTTTTTTTTCCCCCTTTGCTTTTTCCTTCCCGTCCCATCCCATCCCTGGAGCAAAGTGCTGGGGGTCATGGCAGCCCCAGGACGGGCTGTCCAGCCCCATCCAGCCCCACTCTCCCAGTGCGTGGCTGCAAGGGCTCCCATGGGACAGCCTGTCCCCCCATGTCCCCCCTTTGCTCTGAGCTCACCTACTTACAAGAAAATCATTTTACTCACTGCTAGGGGCAAAGCAGAGGGATGGACATGGTGCCAGCGCTGGGCCCTTCCCGGCTGCAGCGGTTTCTGTAACGGATGGATGGTGGTGAAGGTGTGGTGTGTCCCTGAGCCCTGGTAAATGGGGGGAGACAAGGCTGGAGCGCGGGCTGTGCAGATGCCTCCCCGTGTGAGATCCCTATCGAAGCGCTACAGAAAGCCCCTACAATGGCCTCCATAGCATTTTGGGGCAGGAAGGGAAGCGTCTGTGCGATGCTTAGGGGTGACACCGTCCAAGCGACCGGCCCCAGGTCCCCGGGACCCTCCCCAGCCCCCTCCCCATGCCAGGGGAGACACTGTGCCCTTTGTGCCTGTGGTGAAATGCGGGGAACTGGGTTATGAAAGAAGGCAAAGTCGCTGCTGGGATTTTGTTTCTGCCTGTGTGACCAGGTCCCTGGGACGGCGGCAAGGGCGAGCCTGCTAAATCCCCCCCAAAGCTTCCCAAATTAAAACTGGTGCGCACCCAACGACCTCCCAAATCTCGGCTGCTGACCTGGGCTGCCCCCGGCTCAGCGGGGTGATAGGCTGCAGCCAGGCTCCTCTGCCCCTTATTAAAGTTTTCTCAGCAGAGGGGAGAAGACCATCTTTATTTTCCCATCCGGTAGCCAGAAATGCTGAGCACGGGCCTTTTGGCCAGGACGCCGCGTGCCCAAACAAGCAGCCGCCTCCGGACACGAGGCCAAAGGTAAATGAGCTGTTCCTCC